GCTGAGCGCCGAACAAGCCGCCTCCTGCGGGCTGGCCGCCACCACCAAAGAGTCCGCCGGCTTGCGAGCTCTGCTGTTGCCCAAATAGGCCGCCTCCTCCCCCTCCGAACATACAGGGGAATGCCGAGGATACAAAACGCTTCCCAAGGAATATAGCTCTACTGTAACACAATACGACGACACCCTCAGAGTGATAAATATAAGTACTACGGTGTGTAGGATAAGATAGGACGAAATGTGGCAAAAAAGAGACCTAAATGGTATCATACACGCTCGAACCTAAGATTCGTTTGGATGCGGAAACAGGCCAGCGTCGACGCCGCACAGCCTAGGGAAAACGGGATAGTGGGCTCTACACGAGCACTTCGAGCGGGATCAGTCTTGGGCGGTATCGTCTAGGGCATTGCCACCATTAGCCTCGCAGTGGACCTGAGGGAGTCTGATCTGGGAGGAAGGACTAGAGGGGGAGGCTACCGCGGCTCGGGCCACTCTGTTGATGAAGGATGACTCAGCACGCTGGATGCGGCCTTTGGCCTCAGACTGGAATCGTCTAAGCCTCTCTGTTGCCTCCGCTGCGGTGATTCGGCCCTTCTCCAAAGCATCATCAGTCATTTTGGAGACCTGGATAGAGGTCATGTCCAGCATACAAGCGATCCGAGTTCAATCCCTGGCCCGACTACTACCTCCTGCCTCCAACTATCCAAATCGGCCTTCCAATCAGTCAGATGCAGCCGTTCGATGAGTTTGTTCATGACAGTGACACCTACGGCACCTCCCACTCCCTACCCCCACCCGAGCGACCCCTTACCGTTGTGGGCCTTCTGAGCTGAACTGTCTCGAGCGGCTTGTTCCAGCCGACCGCAGAGGACCCCAAGTCCAGAGACGCTGAAGTTCATCCGCTGCCGATAGAGAGTCCACCTACACTGACCAAGTGAGCCCTATGCTACCACGTGCCAACTGCCCAAGTACTCAGGATTCTCCGGATGCTGCTCGTAGGTGATAGTTTCTTGCATTCGGAAGAAACTGCCTGAAGAAAGCCAAGCAGGGGCTCGAAGGGGTCACTGAGGCCACTCACTGAAGGTGTAGTTAGACCCTTTAGCCACTAACTTCTTGTTGCGGACATCACACTCAACGTCCTCGACGGCATAGCCCTGAAAGGAGCCGATGTTGTTGCTACTCTATAAGGACGACCTGCCAACCTCCATATTCCTCTTGTACATCATCCTGACCCAACTAGGTAGATCGTGCTCAAGGTAAAACAATCGACGAACTCTGAGCTTCTGAAAAGCCGTCACTGTACGTGGTCGATGTGGTAGGCTCACTCCTGAGTCGCGGTCGACCTCTCGGCACAGAGTGTCAACCTGCTTCACATGAGGCTGGTCAGGATTGGGGTATTTCGTCCACCATGCTGAGGTACCTGACATAAGGGACCAAAGCTGACCTAGTTCGTATCTTATAAGGTCATCCTATGATACGCTTGTCCGAGCCAGGAAGACACCCCTTCCCGACTTACACGTCTCCCAGTCGTACGGGAACGTGTGGGTCCTCTCGAAAAATCGCATTGGTTTGGAAATAAATCGACAACGCGGCAGCACTACGCCACGTAAAGCTATAACCATAAACTAGAACAAGCGACTCTACTACACTCCCTATCACCGACAGCAGCGGCAGAAATCTACCTGGGTGAAAAGGCAGAACGTCAGACCGGGCGTGCGCGTAAACAGTAGCAAAAGGCGAAAAATTGCAGAATTGTGGTGCTAATTGGGAGCAGAAGGTTGGCTGACGAGGAAACGCGTGTAGGACAGACGTTGGATTGAGGGCTGTGGTCATAATAGAGTCACATGGATCGTATGGTACGTGCCTATGGATTTTGGCATGATTTCACCGTGGTATGGTATTGGCCTTATTCGCGTCTTGTCGCAGCATTGGTCATGATCCGCTCAAGAAGTTGCCTAGGTGTCTCTATGCAGTAATTAGTCAATGCCATTTGTCAAGGATAAAGATGGCAATACCAATTTTACAGTAGTGTCCATGCCGAAGGAGAGGATAGTCCCGACGACCCCTACTGAGCCAGGTGAAGGCAACGAGCAGCCGGCCAAGGAGGTAGTAAGGGACCTGGAGTGGAAATAGGAGTGCTGGTAGTAGGTACAACGGCGGCTGAGGAAGGCTATATGCCTGTCGATGTTCTTTATGATATTGGAGATTGTCGGGGGTATTTTAGCCCATTCCCTGGCAATTGTAATTATTCAGCTTGCCGTGGATCTCATACCACTCCTTCCGCGAATCAGGTCACGGACGCAGCTCATATCGTGTCCGACGTATCAGGTTTCGCTGTGTCCCTCTTCGCCGTAGTGTTAGCTGGGAAGACCCCCACCTCCCAATACACGTGAGCAGCCGCCTCTCGCCCTGGGACGGCTGGCTCCAGATACGGCTATCGTCAAGCTGAGATCCTCGGTGCTCTGTTCTCCGTGATGATAGTGTGGTTCATGACCGGCGTCCTCCTGTGGGAGGCCCTTCAGCGATTCATAGCTCTCGAAGAGGTTAATGGTGGCCTGATGAGCATCATGGCGGTAGGTGGGGCGGTTGCAGCCCCCGAGGGTCATACCATAACCTCAGCTCATCGGCTTGCTGGTGAACTTTTGTCTGATGGCCACTCTCGGTCATAATCATAGCCACGGAGGAGCAAGCGTTGGTCATGACCATTCCCATGGCAACGTAGAAGAAGGTGCACACACGCATACTCATTTGCATGGTAGTACCGACTCTCGAAGGACTTCTGCTAGTAATTGTCGAGTTTGTCACCACCGGAACCTTCATGTGTCAAGTCGTATATTCCCGGCGAACACATCGTTGATTTGTACTGTGAAGTAGTCTTGTCTCCTCCAGTGTAGCGCTGGTGACGGTATCTAATCTGTTCCCTACTCAGATAGCAACAACCTCGCCTTGGATGCTGCTGTTGTCCACGTCCTCGGAGACATTGTAAGTTTTACCATCCATCTCCCTGCTCATGGTATGCCCACAGGTCCAGTCTCTGGGTGTGTTACTAGCTGCCATCCTCATTTATTGGGAGCCCTTTGAAGTTGGTTACATCAATGGCATATCGAAATGGAAGTACTCTGACGACTGCCTTGCCCTTCGTTTAGCCCTTCCTCCTTAGCTATGCTGACCCAGCGTGTACCATCCTCTTCTCGGGCCTGGTCATGTTCACCACCTTCAGTGAGCCTCGCTGTGCCCCTAGAAGATGGTCATGCTGTCATCCATCTCAGAAACAGTAAAGCAGTCAGTGCTCATCCTGATGCAGAGGGCGCCGGACGGTATTGATGTAGACCTACTGCAGACCAAGCTTAGGCACGTGGAGCACGTCCAATGCGTAATGTCCTTCATCGGGCATGTTTTGTATCTTTGCTGCTCAGGTCCATGATATCCACGTTTGGAGTGTCGGTTCGACGGGTAGTATCTGTACGGCTCACATAGTCGTCTCCGGGTGCTCGAGCTGCAGTGAGTCACCGGTGGCGGCGCTGTTTAGAAACTCTTTTGTTATTGTTAGGTCGAGTACTGAGCGAGGCCACCAAGGTTGCCAACGACATGGGTATCAGCCATACGACTTTCCAGCTAGAAGTACGAGCTGAGGATGTCGACTTCAACGCCCTCCAGGTAGGCAATGTGTGCTTGCCTTGAGCATTCTTTGTTGTTGTTGTTGTTGTTGTTGTTGGCTCAGAGTTCCTGCTGTCATAATCAAGCGTGTAACAAGGGGGATGATACTTGTGGTGTGCCCTCAAAGGCGGTATCAGCATCAGTGGTGATCGTCTCCCCTGAGGACGCTTCCCCACTGTTGCAGTAGGCAACATACCGCCCTTGCCAACATTCTAGGCCCAACCCTGGTCGTGGGAGCAGAGTCAGTCTTGGTTTCTGTCTTTCCTTATGAGCACTGTCACTATGTTTTATAAGTTGTTGACCTCTTCAATGAGGAAGTTATACACTATATATCGTCAGCCTGAGGTCCGCCAATATCGACATCATTTAATCTGAACCAAGTGAGCTCACTGTCGAGTATCATCACACTTTGATGTTTTTGTCTTGCATTCTCCCGCTCGCTGCTGTGCCGCCGCGACTTGGCCGTTTTTCAGTTCTTACAAGTACGTCATGGTCACTCTAACTTCATGGTTGCTGTTCTTGTTGGTGAAATACATGATTTCGTTATTATTTCCTTGATGATGTTCCTTACGTTGTTGAACTGACCACTGTTGTGTGGACTAGTGGGGGGCGGGGGGGGGGACCAGAGAACAACAAAGAGCTTGTCAAAAAACACGTGTAGAAATTAAAAACACGAAAAGTCCGGAAGGGGTGAACTACTGTAAAAAGCCGTACTTTACAAGGTGGGCTGCAGTCGTTGCAGTTTCCTGCGTATTCGCTAGTGTGTAGCACTCTGTGGGAGAAAACCGAGCCTGCGATGAGGAAGGCGGCCAGTAACATCTTTGCATGAGACATCTCGGTATGGTCATACTACTGACAAGGCCGGCATCGGATGGATGGGCCACCGACCATATTAGGCGGCGACGGCCCTCGGAGCTACTCCTCAGTGCTGGGGAGTCGCCATTCTTGCCACGACTTTGTTGCCGTGCTCGAGGGTGTGACGTAAGGGTGAGCCGGGCCGAGTTGAGAGGTATTGGGCAGTACCATGATATCATTTCGCCCTAGGATATTGGGGAAAATAATCTCTTATAGAGTTTGTTGGGGCTATGGGGGTTGGTTGGCGTTATTGACAGTAGAGAGGCAGATCCATTCTTGAGCATATAAACAGTCAAGAGCAGTGGAGGTTCGTTACAGCAGCTGTGTTCGACAACCCCGGCCTGGCGAGGTTGGCCATGGCGATGGTAGCTGCTATTCACACTACACCATTTCAAGAGCTAGTGAGCTACTTCAATTTCGTGAGCTGAACAGATGGAACCGAAAAACTGCGTAAAATCCACAGGAAGACGGAATAACTCAGCGAGGCTGGCGACCGTCAGGCGAGCATCTTTCGCCTGGGGGTGGTGACACTAGTGACTCAACGATGCACATGTTGGGTAGAAATAACGCGTGTTGAGGTCTCATGGTGACGCATGGTGGAACCAAATCGGGTCCTCATTCAGCCATGGAATGGCCCTCTCTAGGAACAGGTCAGTCCAGGTTGGCTCGCCTTCCTTTCGAGGCTTCTTCTCAAGAGGGCGTTTCAACTTGAGCTACAACAGGAAGCCTGCGGAAGGACAGCCAGGGTGACTTGCCTCCTACTTCCTTTTTGGCGACGGCTCGTGTGAGGACTCTAGCGCTGGTGACCCAGTGCCAGTCGCTGCCTAGCTCTGTTGTTGTCCATCCCCACGTTGGGGGATTTGGAGGAGAATACACCTGAGATGGAGGTCCCGGATGGATGACCATCATGAGTTACCTGACCATGGTTGGCCAGGGCAGCCCAGAGATTGAAAGACGATGGGCCACGGACCAAGATGGGGGCATAGACCTGTGGGGTATCACAGACAAACTAAAATCTAGAGAAAGAGCACCAGTCTGGCGAAGTCCATTGATATCGAAGCCGGCTTGGTGTCACCCAGCAATACTCTGAATGACACGCTGGGATGGTCCATGCGGATGAAGGCTTGAATACTCTCACGGATCTGACTAGAGTCAGGTACAAGCCAGGACGTAGGGACATCAGCACCTTATCGCAAAGCCACGAGTCTCCGGCCTTGCCTTCTATGAAGGTCACCCTGGTGGTTGTAGTCTTAACCGCCTCTCGAAAGACCGAGAAGGACATCGGGCCGTACATCCCTGATAGAGCCATAAGCATATTCAGAACAAGATGGGGGGTCAAACATTCAGACGTAAACCGAATCGCGTTCGTAGGCGTACGATGGTGATTTGGGCAAGGTGTGGTAAGGAGTGGATTAGTGACGTTGGGGTTATTACCATGCAGTAGTAGAGTCTCCCAAGCACATCGCTGATGGACGAATAACTCATCGGGTAGGGTGTCAGCCAATGCTCGTTGTGCCAGACCAGCTCGATGGAGACTATCGTTCATCTGAGGGCTGAGGTGGACAGCAACTGGCCCTCGATAGCCGTACAAAATCGCGTATGAGGCCTCGGGCTTCCGTCCATGCACCCAGACATTCGTGGGCGTATTGGGGTCGACTACAGTGGCATGCGGCCGCTGCCTTCCTAATGACAACCAGTTTGATTGGATTCACTAAAGGCCGTGGTACTCAGCATCGCCGTGCCATCCATGAGGTGGATGCCACTGGGTGGGGAGGTAGCCTGTGAATGTAGACCCTCCCATGGTGGCTTGCGCGTGGAAGGGTCGAGCAGTGACCACTGCAACGCCTAAGGCCTAGGACGAGTGGGAGATCTGGGAGTAGTTCTTGCCGTGGTACATGCCAATAGGCGCTCATGTCGTTGCCGATGTTGGTAGAACCACCAACACGAGCTGAAGTCGGCATACCGCAACTTCCCGACGAGACCATGGGCTTCTGATGGGGATTGATGGTCACAGTACGACTCACTGTGGTACCGGCGTGGCTGGTGGTGGTGCCCCTGTTTTGGTTACGTCCACAGTACCTAGAGGAGGCGATCAGCTCCTCTGTGTAGGGCTGCAAGGATTACAGTATAGGCAGGTACCATACGGGGGCGGACAGTCCGTAATCGCTTTACTGCATCTACCTCGATTACAGCAGATATAATGGCTACTACTGGCCAGGTATTGTGGAGGACAGGTCTTCGGGCATGTCTCAGTGGAGACGTCTCGCTGGGCTGAAGAGCAGAAGGACGGGGAGGGGCTACAGTGTTGGCCCCCACACCATCGCTGAGCGCTCCCCCTCCTCTCAAGTCGAGTTGTGTGGCATCCCTCTGGGGTAACCGATGATGGATTGATCGTCTGTACGACATGACCATCAGTACCACACCGAGCAGGATCATCAACGGCAGTATGGTCATCCTCGGGGACCACCACCATCGACCACGAGAGCGGCGCTTCTTCATTACCCAACCAACTGTAGTCGACCTACCTGTCGCCTGTTTACATCAATGGCGATGTCAGCTTCGCTCTATGTTGGAGCAAGTTCAAAAGACCGATGACTGATGCACCACGCGTGCATGCGTCACGCGCCACGAAATTATCGAAGATCGCTCGGATCCGCATCATTTGCATCATTGTTCACGTCGTCCCCGAAGGATTATGGGAGGAGGCACTGGTCGTTGCATGTTGGGGTCGTCGGAGCCTCGTCAGTTCCATCTCGCCACGTACCGGACATCACAGAGTCTGACAGTGTTAACTCTGTTATTATTCGTTTTTATCATGGAAGCTAGTAGCAGCTATCCCACGGGCAGCGCACCCCCACCTCAGAGTACGCCATACGTCTACCAACCCCAGGTAGGCGCGGGGTAAGCGGGCTGGTGTTTATTCAGTTCCCTGTCGTGAGCTGTGAAGTGTCCAGTCGGCGTTCATGTGTAGGTACCAGCGCAAGTCGGCCAGCACTCTGCATCAGCCAACGAAGGGTCAGCCCCTCTGGTCACAGTGAGCTATCCAGTGACCAACCAGACACCTTCCGTGCCTGCTGTCGGGCAAGCCAGTGAGACCACGGGATCGGCCCAAGATACCTCGGCTCCTCTGGTCACGATAACTGCATGGAGTCAGCCAGGCTCGGCCAGTACTGGTCAACAGCCGGTGGCTCATCCACCTGCTGGCAATGTCCAGCAAGCGACCGTGATGCCCTCGGACCACCACGAAGCTGTTGCCAGTACGGTACCACATAGTGGACCCGCCACGGTGGCCAGTTCACAGGGAGTCCAGGTGCAGCCTAGTCCCGACCCATCGCCGGTCCCTTCTGTGGCGGGACAAGGAGCTCAGATGGAGTTCCACCAGGCCGCGGCGACTTCATCAGCACCACCGGTTAGTGGGCAAGACATGTTTACACAGGGCAAGGACGAGCAGGCCTTCGCTCCTTCTGCACCACCAATGGTACCACAGCAAGCACAAGCACCGATGTACGCTCAGCAGGCTGCTGCTCCTATGCAGCCGATGGTGGCAGGGCCTCCAACGCCTGCTGGCCAGGTGGTCCAAGGTCAGCCTTCATTTATTGAGGGCTACCCTAAACAGCCTTATGGTCAACCACAATACTCTCAACAGCTACCATACCAACAGCAGCTACAATACCAACAGCAGCCACCATA